TGTCACGAATCACGTGTTAGCACGTGGTTAGCGAAGACCAGGCGGCGTCCTGACAGGTCAAGCACTACCAGAATACTTATAGCAGATAGGGATGCTTAGGTTAGCTAAGCGATCCAGGGATTTCATAGCAATTATATCACGTGACCAGGTCGTCTTGGTCACGGCGACCAGCAGCGATCATGAGGATGAAGGTTCTATATAAGACTGGCACGTCTGCCATTAGATAGGAGCTTCGTGCTCAACTTAGTTATCAACTTAGTTATCAATCTTATCATATTAGTTTGACATCTTTGATACAAGTAACGAGTTCACTTCCAAGTGAACAACCCGATAGTCTTCTTCTTATCATAGCATACCAACCAGCGAACACCCAGCCAAGTTTAGTTAGCCAGTTTGAGTATTCGTTACATAACTTATATAGACGTAATTTTATAGTAGTTAGAACCTACTTAATAATAATAATATCCTAATTTATCGAAGATAGCTCTTAACGTACTTTTAATTCCCGCTATATTAGTAGGTCCTAAACAAGTATTCTCTAGTACTAAAATAATAATAATAGATTATTATAACCGCCTTAGAATACCTTTAATTAATACTCTTTTATATCTTAAAAATTAGTTTAGTTTATTTAATATAGAAGAGGCTATATTACAAATTAATAAGCAAATTAGGTAGCTAGAGACTAAGGATAGGAAGAGAATTATAAAGCAAGTAGAGGCTTTAATTACTAGAGAAACCTTAGAATTAGACTAGATAATAGCTTTAAATTTCAACTGATTTTACACCTAGTTTAGTAGCACTATTGTAGTATACTATGGTTAGTTCTCTAGAATTTGCACTATAGTTTTACTAACAACACTATAGCCATAGTTAGTTTTACGACTTTCAAACTGTGCTTAGAACTGCGTAGTTTGCACTATTCCCTACACTGTATAGGAATAATAGGAGGTTTGAAGATAGGTAGGGGAAAGGGGGGAAAGGGGGGGGGNGGGATGGAGATGAGTAGCTGGTGTGATGAAGTAAGTTGTCATAATAGGTCGCTCTATACGACGAGGTTTTTAAAATACAAATTTTGAATCATATTATAGCTTTTTGGCTTAGATATAGGTACAGTATAGGACGGAAATAAGAACCTCCCCTCCCAACTCTTTCCTTCACTCCTCTCCATAATCCACCCCTCCCCCCTCTCTCAACCCTAATACTCCCCAACATCATTCCAATACTCCGTCCCACTCTGCACCATCCGTCCCCCGTTCCTCAACTCCCACCCCAGCACCCATCTAAAGAAAGCCATCAAATGGGACGCAACTTTCACATGACCGAAATCCGTCGGGTGGTAGAGAGGCGAGATGTCGTTGTGGTTTAGGATGCCGGTGGTGTTGAAGTAGTAGACGAAAGGCTCGAATGGGGTGTTGGTGGTGTAGGTGCTGTTGGTGGTGTGGTTGTAGAGCATGGGATTCTGGAGGTAGGAGGGGGTGTTGAAGGTGGTGTAGAGGGTGTGGAGGGGTTGTGTGAATGCTGGGGGAGGGTGGTGTTAGGTTTTAGGAGGGAGATGGGGGATGGGAGGGAATCTTACCACCGGCTTGAGCGTAGGAGTTTCCATTGGCGTAGAAGCCGTTCCAGAGGGACTGAGATTGTTAGCTCTACCATACCTTGATTTCACTTCAAATCTCGAAATTTCCTGCGGAGCTTTTGCTTTCTTGATTGGAGCACGAAGGAAGGGATTGGGAAGAACATAGCTAGGTAGACACTTACAACTATCACAATCTTCGTCCCAGGCCACACGCCCTTAACACCCATAATCAACCTCCGATACGCATCCACAAACTCCTCCTCGCTAACCTGCCGGGAATTAGCACACATCCCCCTTTTCCAATTTCACACCCCAAACCCCTTGATTCAAAACTCACCTGATTATGCTCATTCGCATCATTAGTCCCCAAACAAATCACCACCACATCCGCCTCCTCCTCCCTCCCAAAATCCCAGCTCTCAGGCTCCCCCCCATACAACTCCCCCGCTCGCGGCGACGTATCAGAAGTATACCACCACTGCCACACCATCCCCCTCGCATTCCCCCAACACTGGCGATCCGCGGCGCACACCCCCGGATACGCCGTGATACTATATTCCGTCTCGCCGATGCCCTCGCCTAGCCCAAAGGCGTAGCTAGATAGTCCTTCGAGCGTCGCGAGATCCCCCGCGGACAGCGAGTCGCCAATCACCTCGATCTTCCTGCCGTAGTTGGGGAGGGCAATGAGGGAGGCGGAGGGAGCGAGGTGGATGGAGGAGATTNCCCCGCGGACAGCGAGTCGCCAATCACCTCGATCTTCCTGCCGTAGTTGGGGAGGGCAATGAGGGAGGCGGAGGGAGCGAGGTGGATGGAGGAGATTTGGAGGCCGTAGGCCCAGTTGGTTATGCGGAGCTCGAGGGTGTGGGGGTTGATGGGGTAGGTGGTGTTGATTCCGGGGGTGGAGGGGGAGATGAGGAGGTGCGTTGAGGAGGTGGAGATGTTTGTGAATTGCCAGTCGAGGTCGGAGAGGCGGTAGGCTATTAGGACGCCGTTTGAGGTGTGGTTGCCGAAGGTTATGGCGACTGTGTCTCCTGTGAAGCCGAATTTGAGGCCGGGTGCTCTGGTTTGCTTTTAGTTTTTTCTTGGTTTGGGGGGATGTGAGGATTGGTGGTTTATATGGGGAGATGGGAGAGGGGAGAGGGAGAGGGAGACTGACGACCACCAGCTTATGTATTTAGAGTCCCAGCGGCCTTTGTAGGATAGTTCTGTGCTGTTTGGGGGAAAGGATTGGAAGTTGTAGAGTGAGGCGTCGATTTTTGTGTCTGGGTAGTTTGTTTCTCGAACTTGACCGTTTTGTAGTATTGTGGAGGTGGTTAGAGAGAGACAGGTTAGGAGGAGGTAGAGGGTATGTCTCAAATTCATTTTGAATGATTGTGATTTTCGTCAAGGAAACAAGATATAAACATGCAGAAAAGTATATACAGAAACCACTTCAACTATAAAACCAACGAGACCTCTCATATCCGCAAGAAACAAACTTTTCAATTTCTCAATACCCAGAAGACTTTCCTCTTCAACATACGAACAACGGAAAAATATAAATCGACATTGAGGGGGTATCGATGTACCAAAAGATCCACCCGAGACGAAGAGGATGAATCAAAAGTCAGACTACCGGACCAATGGGATTCCCATCCCAACCAAGTCCAGGATGATGGCGGGGTAAATGTCAAGGAGCATGGAGGGGTACAGTACCTGCGGGGCTGGAAAGGTGGAAAACGGACAGGGAAATGGGATCGGTCCTATTGCTCCAAGCGAGAGTGATCATCCGCCATTCAGAAGAAGCAATGCATGCAGAAGATACAATACTTCTTACATACTCCTACATAGTCGGAAGCTGAACGGATGATCGTATCTCGACGGCGCCGTCCGGTATAAAGAGCGCGTGGGGGCAGGGAACGGAAAACGAAGGAACAGAAGAAATTCTATGCTGCTGGATTGAGGCGTGGTTGAGAGACATTTTTATGGCGTTGGGTTGGGAAATGATAAGGTGGGTTTGGAATTGATAACATCTGTCCGACGCCAAAGCAGGAATCTCCCCCGGGTCCTGACATTTGTGAGCCATTGCAAGGGACGGCAAGGGACGGCAAGGGACGGCAAGGGACGGCAAGGGATCGCTTGCAACCGCTCAATTTATATATTGCCGGTAATCTGACCGTCGAGGAGCGATAAGGATGAGAATTATTAATGAGGATGAGGGGTCGTGGAGTCGTGGAGTCGTGGACTGAGTTTTGGGAAGCTTGTCCGGAGGCACATGCTCCGCATAGAAGGAAGTCTCTCGGCCTTTGACTTTTGAATATTGGAGAAGGAGTGGAGTGCGAGGGAACTGGAGGGGTAGACGTAAGTTACCTGTACTCGAGTACGCTGCAGGTGGTGCTCGCTATAGGTACCCGAGGGGTTTGAGGTTGTAATTTTGCCTCTTTACCTTTGGGTGGGAATCCCCATTATCGGGGTGACCGAGTGGGTTGGTCTTGAGAGAGTTACAGTACCTAGGTTTAGTACCTATGCCTTACCCATGCCTTACCTGGGTTTATGGTACCTATGCCTTACCTGGGTTTATGGTACGGAGTATGTGTGTCGACTGACGTCGTTGAAGGCATCCCGAGAGAGGATGGATTGCTCATCGGGACCCCATTCATGTTCCCCAGATTATGCGAAGATCATCTCCCGTACTTGTTGTACCCGTCGTCGGGACGGATTATGCCAACGTTATACGCAAAATGACAGAGTTGTGCACAGAGGCTCTGCTGGACTTGTGCATTGCGGCACGACAGGGCAGTTTTGCTTTTTAGCGCTCGGCAGTCTTACGGTGGCCGTCTGCTGTAACTCGACACTCGGTACCAGTGCCGTCCAAGACCCGTCCAATGCTGGAGCGTCTAATCAGCCAGTGAGTGAGAGATATTGGCCGTCCAAGGCCTCACTCAGCCAGTGCAGAAGTCGAACTGCAAAACATCGATGCGATGCATACATCTAGGTACATTGGCATACGGCATACACGTAAGATCTTACCATACTGTACCTACTTCCACAGTACTTCCATGGCCGAGCCAGCCAATATCAAGCTCATATCTATGCACTCTCATCTTATATACTTCGTACATATGTATACCAAGATTAATAGCAACACTTTTATTGTCAATCCATCTCCACAGTCCCGACCTTCCTAAAGCGCCCACTTAAAGCCACTACACTACGCCTACCAACCACAGACTCATCCCAGCAATCCCACCTCCACCTCCACCTCCACCTCCACCTCTCTCAACCACACTCCGGACTGCATATTACACCGCCCACAGCATCCCAGAGCCCAGAGACTCGAGCCGCTTCACACCCTCGAGACACCTTACCGAAGCTTTGCCCTGTCTTTGTGCCTCGAACCTCGTCCTCCCCCTCTCAGCTGACTGCACTTCTCCGACCATCCCATCCCATCCCATCTCATACCACTTTTTGCCAAAAACAAAATAAAATCCAAAGCGCGACCGTAGAGAAACCTACCAGATGGGTGGGTGGCATTACCGTACTTGGATGGTCTGTGGTACCTCTTCCTACCAGATCTAATCCATCTTGAGCTCTCCGTCTTCTCGGCCTGGCCCGCATTAACCTTTACCGTACTCCAGCTCCTGCGCTTGCTCACAACTACACCCTACTTTACTCCCGAGACCCCCCCGAGCCCTTTCCCTCCCTTCCCTTCCCTTCCCTTCCTCTTTCTCTCCAACACCAACGCCCACCCGTCCTGGGGGAGCTCTTGCCATGATACATTACATATCTCAATTACCATGAAGCGTATACCACCTTCACAGTTCTCTGTGAGGGTGTCGTTACCTTTGTCTATCACCGAGAAGACATTGTTCGAGAATCTGCCACACCGATACGCACATTCCAAGGTACAAACCTCCCCACCACCATCATGGCCTCGCCCGCCAATTCAGTCCCCGATACTCAACTTGGTTTGACCAATGATGAGATTGCCCTTCTGCGCCATCACCAACAACAAGCCGCCGCGGCGAATTCATCTTCCTCCCGGGCAGCATCCCGCGCTTCCTCCCAAGGACTTCTTCTCCTCGATGGTTTTTCCCTTGCAGCACTCGGCCGCCATTTCGATCGACTCATGCAACAGATTCAAGCTCGAATGGACTACCTTTCAGATCAATCGGCGCAAGTAGCTCAACAGCAATATGATAGAGCCGGAAATGCGATTGCCATGGCAGATGCGGAGATAGCTCGATTCCATGAGATCCTCCAGCAGATCGATGAACTAGAGTTGGATTTCGACCGAATCAGACACATCAGGGATATTGTGAGGTCTTTTAGGTCGAGGGTGGAGGAGATGGATCAACAATTGGAGCAGAGTGGTTCGAGTAGTAGTCGACATCGACATGGACATCATGGAGAGAGCTCTGGAAGCTCGAGCAGACGTCATCATCATCACCATAGGAGATAATTAGGAGCACGAACGATGAGAAAATATATTGGGGAGGATATTACAGAATAATGGCTACACAGCCTACTAAAACTGCTGCTACTCTGGCAGACGATTGTTGATATCCAAGAGGGAATTGGATGTTCCAGGGGTAAGAACAATAGGCCTCACGGCTGGAAGATGGAATAGCCTCACGGCTCACGATTTTTGGCGTTTTTTATCTTTGTCTTTTTTGGGGTTGTTGTTTTATCCGATCTATTTTATTTTAATACCCTCGAAAAAGTCCCGTGTAATGGTTGGTGGGTGGCTGTAAGATTGGGAGGGATACTTTTATATGTTTCGAGCGTTCGTTACCTCTTCTTACTGTTTCAATTGGCCATACAGAGTCTTTTATGTGGATACGTAGCTGTTCCAGTCAGCAAACTTCCAGAGGCTTTATAGTTCTCTAATAAAATGTTAGCGGTAATCCTATGATCATTCTGTTCATTAGAATTGGGTTCTTCTTGAGTTGTACTAAATTGCTTGGCTGGAAATGTAAATTCTGCCTTAGCATGGCTTCATATTGAGCCAGGAATGACTTAAAAACATGTAGGAAATGTATGGCTTCAATTCAGACGTAGAACTTCCCATACCTAGGTATGATACAACTCACTATTCAGAGCAATTCTCAAAGGGGAATTCACCTTGATCATCTGGCGAGATGACCAGGACCCATACTTCCTTTTCTCGCCAGGCTTACCAGGCTCAATTTAATTCAATAATCCAAGCTTTATTGTAGACTTTTTCCCCTGCATATTACAACTTTTCTCTCTTAATCAGGGTTTGATCAACAGAGATTGTGGATTGCGGCGAGGCTGAACAAGGCTGACGGGAATTCTCCGGCATTCGAGGGCCATCCACCTCGGAACAACTTTACTACCCCATATCCAAGTCGCATCTTCAACGAGGCTCAACATCCAGACAGCAACAAGATACTCAGTACAGCATCGCCATGGATCCAAACGAGCTTTCGCAAGCCCTTTCTGTGGCTAGCCCTGCTGAAAGCTTCAACGAGGTTGGTCCCAGACTCTCCGTCTTCCACATTACTGCGCTCCTCCTTGATCTAGCTCAGCCTTCAACCACCGGGGAGGTAGCGCCAGAGTCTCAACTTGGATCTTTCTTGTTTTCAAGAGTTCTTCATCCTACAACTTTAGTTGCTAATTCTGTGTATTACTAGGCTTCTATCGAACCCCCCTCCACGAGTTTCTCTGCGCAATTAAACTCCTCGCCTCAACCGCCCCCAGAAGCATCAGCTCCCAGCTTGAATAATAATAATAGGCCAGGATTCAAGTACAAATACCCCGAAGCTGCACCAACGCCCCCCGGAGAAGATGACGCTGAATGGAATAAGGTCTATACAGCTGCTGACTCGCGGTTCTACAATCGCAATGGCAAAAACGCGGAAAAGTCTAGAAAGTTTAGACAGGCAGGAGATACCTATCAGCTGGCATTAGTCATGATGGCAGAAAAGAAGGAAAAAATGAAGGCCGGGACAGTCGCACCAAATGGTAGAGTTGTTGTTCCGAAATCCAAGGCTGCGAAGAAACCTGCGACGGTGGTTAAGAAAGAGCCTTCGAGTAGTTCTCGTGATGTTACGCCTGGTGGGATGGGAATACCATTGAGTATTTCGGAGCAAATAAAAGCAAATGGACGAGCTGCAAAAGCACCTTCTGCGGCACCATCTTCTAAACAAGGTACACCTGTACCCAGTTCGTTCAAAATGGGAAGCCCTCCTCCACCAGCTCCTAAATTGGATAGACCACCCCCGAAGAAAAAAGGAACTGCTGCTCTTGTTAATAAACATGCGAGACCCAAAGGACCAGGTATGTCAAATATACTCTTATGTCTTCGTTATTTATCTTTTCCTTTATTTATATATACTAATTATACCCTTAACTAGAACGGCCCATTCTTCCTCCCATACGACCTGGACAAACTCCTGTTCCTAAGACTAATAATGCTTCTGATTCAGACAGTAATGATGGAGGGGAATACTGTATCTGTCGTGGTCCAGATGATCATCGGATGATGGTGAATTGTGAAGGTGGCTGTGACGAATGGTATCACTGTTCCTGTATCAATATGGTGGTTGAAGACGCCAAGGAACTCCTGGATCGTTATATTTGCCCCCGTTGTCAAACCGATGAACTTTTCACCACCTGGAAACGCATGTGTCGCTACAATAATGTTGGGGAATGGATGGATTGGGACCATCCTTGTCGTAAAGCTGCGCGTGTCACAGAGGATCCTCCTAGCAAGTATTGCAGTGATGAACATCGGGATGAGTTCTGGAAATTTGTGAGGGATCATTTGGCTCGTACCGATCATGCGCCGTCGATGGGAGGAAGATTGAATGCCCAGGAGGTGGCCGATATATTGGCTCATTGCAAAGATAACTCACAACTTCAAAATCTCGGCAAGAAGCCTCGCCTCCCAATACCCGAAGGGTATGATTCAAGTAAGCACATTGATTTTTTCTTCTTCTGAAATCCACTCTAGCTGATACACAAAAGGTCGCCCAATTGGCCTCGAATACGTCACACCCGCAGGCAAAGCCGAACTAGAAAACATTGAAAAGAAAAAGAAAATAATTGAGCAACGCATCGAGAATTGCGTGCTTCAACAACAGCTCCTCCGCATGGTACACGCCCGCGCCAGTGCCGCAGCCGAGCACCCGGAATGCGCGGAAAAGGGACTGTGCGGCTACGACAACCGGCTCTCCTTCAACGAAGAGGAATTCGCTCACTGGCTCACCACCACCGAAGGCAAGACCGCTTTTGAAAGCGGCAAGCTTGGTCCACGAACGGAGGAAACAAAATCCATCTCTAATAGGATTATCGCGATGGATCAGGTATTGACAAATGGAGCTGTTTTGCCGGATGAGCTTAATAACATTTGTCTGGCGCGCGGTAAGGGGTGTGTGAAGCATCGGCAGTGGAGGGCTATCCATTCGCTCGATTTTTCCACGCATCAGGGGGGGCTGAAGCTGGAGTTGGATAGGTTGACGAGTATGGCGAATGAGATTATTGAGGATGCGGAGGGGAGGGAGGCGGAGAAGGAGTATCATGCTCATAATACTGTTGAGGTGCTTTTCTAAAGCCCTTCCTTCTATTGTTCCTAAGGAAAGAGCGTGAGAGTGAGTATATGGAAAGGTACCGTAGTATGGGTTTGGATGGGAAGCGAGGGTTCGCTAGGGGCGTTTTTCTGGAGTTCAATAGGTGGTGCCATCGTCTTGATACCCTACCCCCTTTTTCTTTCTCTTTCTCTGTTTCGCGGGAAGATTGTAATCTAGATGCGAAAAGGGTACGCAAAATGCCGTAATTTAAGGATACAATCGTGGGAGTGTGGTGGATTTTCTCTCTCTCGCTTCTTTGATATATACGATGGAATGGACTTGCCTATGGGATATTGTTTTATATCTTACTCGCCGAGTAAGTTCTACTATATAACCGAGATTTGGGATTTAAATTTAGATGAGATACTACTGTAGGACTCGGAACTTAGGGCTAAGGCTCTAAGGGAATTGTATCTTTTATAATATAACCTTTTGTATCTGGGAAATGAGGATGGGTAATCATCTCCCCTCCGGGCCCTCCCCTTTTCTCTTCTCTATATATATACACTTTATGTCTAGAGGTAGGTACTATACTAGCTAGGGGAGAAAGTTAATTAGTAAGTAAGTTTGTTAATGTTGTTTGTTAAAGAGGGGATAGGTTTTTGTTTTTGCTTTTGTTTTTTGGGGG